ATATAATATTGTAGCTCTGTTTAGGCATTGCAACACTATCAATAATATAATAGCCTTGCATCATTGTTACAATAATTTTTTTTCTTTTTTTTTTTTGGTCTGAATGCCTTCAGGGCAGGTTTGGCTGGCTTGAGTTGTGGGGATCGAACCACAGCAACCTGAGCCTGACTGCTTTGTTGAAGCAGCCACTTAAAGAACTGAGCTAAGGGGCAGGCCGCCCCCAAAAATTTCAAAGATGGGTTTTCCAGTTTCTTCCAAACCAAGAGAGTTCATGTTGAGAATCTTTGTCTTGAATTAGTATTTATTCTCTTTTGGCTCATTTTTAGTGAAAGAAAAGTATACTTATGGACTGGAGACATGGGTCAGTAGTCCAAGTGCCTGCCTGGCAAGCACAAGGGTCCTGGCCCTATCCTGATCGCCAAGTACCATGAGGGTCCCTTGCTGGGCCAGCTGCAGAAGCTGGGTGTGCTGGTGCACTCCTCTAAGCACAGAGCTGGGAAGCCTGAGACAAGGGGATCTCTTTGAGCCCAAGCTGCACAGGGAGACTCTGTACCAAATAAACAAGAGATTAGAAAAGAAAACAAAGAAAGAAAAGTATACTTAAATTAAGTTAGTTGAAAATACCTATTTTCATTCTAACATGCAAAAGAAAGAAAAGCAAAGTAAATTACAAAATATCAACTAGCCTTTCAATTTAGTATGGTGAATCATGAGGTTTCTAAGACATAGTAAGATATAATGACATAAATTCATTTATTTCAATTTAAAATGAAAAATATATTTATTTTAAACTATACTTTATAACAAATGCACATTTTATTTTTTTAAATTTATTTATTTATTTATTTGAGAGAGAGAGAGAGGCCAGCTCAGCCCACCAGGGGGCAGGGCTGGCTGGCACGTGGTGCTGGGGGATTGAACCGCAGTCCCTGATGCTTTTGCTAAGCTTGTTCTAAGTAGGTGCTTTAGACCACTGAGCCATCTCTCCAGCCCCGAATGCACATTTTAAACTACCTGAATGAAATATTTTAGGAAGTGTGTAGGTACATAAAGTTATACATAGTTAATGTTAGAAAAAGTTTAAGTATAATAATTATTACTGAGTAATATTTTAGCAATATCTAGACAGCTTGAACCTTAGTAAAAACAGAGAAGTGAACATTTAACCAAAACCAAGAGCCACCTTTAATCATTGGCAGGCTACCAGGCACATAAAGTGATATACAGGAGATTGATGGTTAAATAGAGACTAGAGCACAAAGACTTCAAAAGAAATCTACTTCTCACAGCTACAATGAGGCCCCCGGGAAAAATAACGTGGAGTCACCTCTGCGAAGGCATAAATTGTGGACTCCATTCCCCCCTCCATTTGCAGAAGAAGTATTCTCAGGAAACACATCAACGGGCACAACGCTAATGAGTATGGAAGAAGGAAGAGCAGCTGTCTCCAACAAGATATAAAGAAATTTCTATAAGTCAAGTGTAGTTACAGGAAGAAACCGAAAATTATTTTGAGCTGTGAGTTATTAAAAACAAAAACATGGGCTGGGGAGATAGCTCAGTAAAATCAGCGCTTTCCCGGCAAGTGCAAGGTCCTGAGTTCAATCCCTGGTAGGCAAAAAAAAAAAAAAAAAAAAAAAAAAGACAACAATAAAATACAACACACAGTCTCTTCTCTGTAGTGATGCTTTTATGTACCACAAACTTGACTGCATCACCAGCTGTGGTGGATACCCTCCTCAATGCTGCAAATTTCCAGAGCCTATTAATGGGCTCCTACTAGGACAAGAGGGATTTTACAGATTGTTCTAAATTAAAGTTTTTTTTTATTTTTTGTTCTCATTTATTTTTGTTGGTGGTGATTTTGTTTTTCTTTATCTGTCTTTTTTCCAATGCTAGAGGTGGGATTTTGGAAATTCGTAGTGAGCTACACAGTCTTAAGTAGTTAATTGGCTAATTGGTTTAGTTAGTTAGTTAGTTACTTAGTTAGCTTTGAGCCAGAGCCTCAGTGAGGCCTGTCACTCCAGCTGCACGGACTTACCAGCCCTTGGCCTGCTGTCCGCAGCTCTCGCCTCTCGGCCGTCTCTACCACACCTGGCGAAGTGAAGCACAAGGCTCCTGACGGAAGGGGGTTTACTTTTTCCTGTGCAATTGGATTCTTTCCATTAAGAGATCCTCTTGGGGTGATGTTAGCGGCCCCGGGAGCCCCAGGGGACCCGCAGGCGGCGGGGAGCGGTGGGTCGGGGGGATGCGAGCCTCTCGGGGTGCTGCAGGGAGGGTCTGACATGTTTGTATTACCGATATCACGGACGAACATGGAACACACACTGAAAGAACTAACAGAATTAATAAAAAAAAAAACTAATATCCTAGCACTGTACAGCCACCTCCAAAGCAATTTCAGACTAGCTTCAGAAGCCCAGTTATGAGAATAAATTCATGTTCGGACACCAAATTGAAGGGATTGTTTTGTTTCATTAATAGGAAGCACCCAAACAGAGCTAAAAAGATTCCTGCTTGAGGCAGCCGCCCACTGCTTCGTACTTACTCTCTCCTGCGATAGCTTTGATCTCGGTGGAGCACGCAAGCCTCAAACCCCGGGAGCAGCCGGCGCGATGCCCAGCGACAGCCGGGCCAGGGCGTGCGGCCTCGGGGCTGCGGGATCTGTGGGCAGCCGGTGAGCAGGAAAGTGGCCGAAACGCGTTGTGCCAGTGCCATCATTTATATTTACATTTAAAAATGTGTATTTGGGTTTTTTTAACTTAAT